CTGCCGACTCAGAGGCCTGCAAGGCAGGCGAGGATTGTTGCAGTCCTCCATCACTGAAGCAAGCAAGCCTCATGTTCAGTTTAAGCTTCCTGGCTGCCGGCCGCCATCTTGGCTGACAGTTAATTTGCATATCACCCCTGATTAGCCAGTGGGAAGGGTAGCGGTCGTACGCCAATTACCACGTTTCTCTTTTATTAGATAGGATAACATAAATATCCAAAGTTATATAACTAGTATACAGGGTAATGCCAGAATTCGTACCCGTCATCTGTCTCCTGATCCTGTACTTTTATTTATTTATTTTTACATATATTTATTGATTTCAGAGAGGAAAGGAGAGGGAGAGAGATGGAAACATCAAGGATGAGAGAGAATCATTAATCAGCTGCCTCCTGCACACCCCCTACTGGGGATTGAGCCCACAATCTGGGCATGTGCCCTTAATCAGAATAAACCCGGGACCCTTCAGTCTGCAGACTGGTGATCTATCCACTGAGCCAAATGGGCTAGGATCTGATACTGTACTTAATAATATTAAGTTAAACTAGCTTTACTTTCTTAGAAGAACAAGATTTGAATATCAAACTAAGTTCTTGGTCTTTTGTACTAAAAAGCAACAGTAGCTCTCAGAGGTACGGCTTTTATTTGTTTAAAACCTTGTTAGCTCAGGAGAATCCAAAATGAACAGGTTTGGCATGTTGAGTTTGTAAACTACCAGTTTTCACATAGATTTTATGTTTGAAAAATACTTAGTGCAGTCTGAAAACTGTAAGGTTTTCAAATGTTGAAATGTCATGTATTATTAATAGTAAACTGAAGTATTTTTCCTTAAATGCATTACCATAAAAATGAAGCAAGTGTCTATATTATAAAGTATTTTGTCTTCTGTAATTTGTACTTTAACAATTTTTCACAATTCTCCACCAACTTTAACAGTTTTCCCGAAATGAAAAACTTATTCTGATTGAAAGACGATATTCATTGTTTAAAAAAAACAAAACAAAGCAAGCATCAAACACTTTTGTATAGTACAAAGGAGTCGAAATCACCTGAAATCCTACTAGTTAGAAAGTAACAACTGGTTAACATTGTGGTAGACACAAACACCTAGAGACAGAAATTCTTTGTTAACTTTGTATGTGAAAAATGTCTTTGGGTTTGTGATTCACTTTTTTTAATGCTTAATTGTAATGAACAGAAACTGTTAATTTTAATATTAAATGTGTGAGATTAGGAGTCCAGTTTCATTCCCTACTCCCTAAATAGGGAACATTAGTTTTACAAGTACTATGTATTTTAAGAATCTATTTTTCTCTTACTTTTTGTCTGTTATAAATCAAGTTTGTTTGTTTATGGACTTTTGTTTTGTTTCATTTATCACTATGTTTTTATGCCAGTACTGTACTAATTTATAGTGTCACATAGTTTTTCTGTATATCGTAGTAAAAAAGAGAAATTCCCCTCACTTTCTTTTCCCTGAAGTGTTCTGGCTATTCTTGACCTTTTGTTCTTCTATACAAATTTAGAACCTGTTTATTAAATTGCTCTCCTAAATCTGTGAGATATTTTTGAAATTGCATTGCATCATTACATCAGTTTTAGGAAGATTTGATATCTTTATGATACTGAGTTTTTAAAATCACTGAACATGGCATAACTTCCCTTTTCTCTTATACTTCTTTTCATGAAGGTTTGCATATCTTCTCTTAGCCTCTAACTTAGAACATGGTTCATTAAACTATGGCCCATTGGCCAAATCTGAATGCCACCTGTTTTTGTAGTTCATGAGCCGAGAATGCTCGCTAAGAATTTTATAAATGGGGGAGGGGAGAACCAAAGGAAGCATGACATTTAGTGACATGTGAAATTATATAAAATTGAAATTTTATTACTCATAAATAAAATTTTGTTGGTGCATAGTTATGTTCATTCATTTAAGTATGTGGCTGTGTTTGCACTTCAAATAGCAGAGTCTATTGTTTCAACAGAGATTGAATGACCCACAAATCTAAACTATTTTATTATTTGATCCTTTATAGAAAAAATTTGTCCAACCCTGACTTAGAATTATTGTCATTGTTTGTCTACGTATTTCAGGGTGCCATGTGTATGTTGGGGTGGAGGTGGTGTTTCAGCCTCCTTTTCTTTACCTGTATCTCCAATTCTGATAAGACCTAAACTCATAGTGAGCCACTATTACCGAAGTGCGTTGCTTTAAATTTGTGTGGGCAGAGAAAAAGTTTGAAAACTTTTGATATCATGTTTCATATAATAACTAGAGGCCTGGTGCACAAAATTTATGCGTGGGGGTGTGGGGGTTCCCCTCAGCCTGGCCTGCACCCTCTCGCTATCTGGAACCACTGGCTCCTAACCGCTCGCCTGCCTGCCTAATCTCCCCTAACCACTCTGCCTGCCTGCCTATCTGCTTGCCCCTAACCACTCTGCCTGCCTGATCGCCCCAACCACTTGCCTGCCTGCCTGACCACCCCTAACTGCTCGTCTGGCTGCCTGACCACCCCTAACTACTCATCTGCCTGCCTGATCGCCTACCTGCCTGATGGCTCCTATAACTGCTCACCTGGACAATTCGCCTGCCTGCCTTATTGCCCCTAACCACTTGTCTACCTGCCTGATGGCTCCTATAACTGCTCACCTGCCTGCCTGATCGCCCCTAACCGCCTATTCCTTGGCTCCTGCCACAGCGGCTTCGTCCAGAATGATGTATGGAAGGTCTTTTGACTTTCCATTCTAATTAGCATATTACACTTTTATTATTATAGATCACTGTACCTGTGCTTTGGCATTTTACAATAGAGAATTTAATAAAATAACTTAATTTTCCTATTTCCTGATTTTCCCTTTTATAGGAAATTAAGAGAGAAACAGAATCCAAGGATGACAGTTTGCCCATCAGACGGGAAAGGCATGGGAATGTAGCAAGTCTTGTACAACGAATAAGCACCTATGGACTTCCAGCTGGAGGAATTCAGCCACATCCACCAACTAAAAACATTAAAAAAAGTATGTAAATAATTTCTTTACTTTTAATAAATTGAGTCAAAATAGAAGGATGTCTTGTAGCTGTTCATAAATTACGTTATGAAAAATTAGCTCAACCTTCTGCAGTTGAGTGCAGAAACTTCCCACTTATTCTCATGTTACCAGTTACTGGCCCATGTAGTCAATTCTTTATATGAGTTGCTGACAACTATGTGTGGGAATGGTTTTCTTATTACTGTTTAAGGCTATGTTGACTTGTTAACACTTCATTTTTAGCAATTTTATTTATTTTTTAATTAAATCTTTATTGTTCAGGTTATTACAGTTGTTCCTCTTTTTCCCCCAATAGCCCCCCTCCACCCGGTTTCACCCCACTGTCCTCTCTTTCTGCACCCCTCACACCCACTTCCCCCTGAGAATTGTCAATCCACTCCCTTTCTAGGCCCCTGATTCTATTCTATTCTCCAGTTTATTCTGTTGGTCAGATTTTTTATTCACTTGATTTTTAAATTCACTTGTTGATAGATATGTATTTGTTATTAATAATTTTTATCTTTACCTTTTTCTTCTTCTTCCTCTTCTTACAGGATACCTTTCAGCATTTCATATAATACTGGTTTGGTTGTGATAAACTCCTTTAG